AAAATCTGAAAAAGGACAAACCATAGTTAAGTTATACAATTTCAAAAATTTGGCAAATTTCAAAAATTAATAAAAAATCAAAACGATCTGTAACATATAGTTTTTTCTTACTTAAATTAAAGATTGTATCGAATTCTATTAGTGTAGTAAAAAGCAAAATTTTATATTGTAGAATCTTAGAGTAATAAAATTTTAAAGATTATTCAAAATTTTAAAACGTGTTTTAAAAATATTTGTAAAAAATCTGGAACAATTTAAATTTTATAGTACTGTAGAGGAAAAAATCCACTACATATTAGGCATTTAATTTAAATTTTTGAGTTAAATTTGGATTTTTAAATCACAAAAAACATAAATTTTTTATTAATTTTTGAATTATCAAATCGGGGGCTAACCTGAGGCTTTAGTTATATAAGAATTCGACACCCTGGTAAAAACCCCGACAAAACGAGCCCAAACTCGGGTATTTTCGGTTTATAAATCGAAAAGTTAGGACGAAGCGGCCATTTTGGACGCCATTTTTAAAAAATAAAAATCGAGTTATCTCCATAACTAGCGGGCCGTTTTTGACGGGATTTCCGAGGGAGTGCTTGGCACGACTCGGGCCAACTCTTTAACTCATAAAAAATCAAAAAATTTTTTGACAAATAAAAAATTGAAAAAATTATAAAATCAAATAGCCCTGCTCGAGCTGAGGCCAGGGACCCCAAGCGCGGCTACGTTCGGCCGCGGGACTGAGGAGATACGGCTTTGAAAGCGAACCAGCCGCCATCTTGGTTTTCTTCAAAACACCGTGACTCCTGCAGCGTTAGCCATAGTGTACCCGTGTTTGGTATCGTTGGAACCAGCTCGGGGAGGACTATCTTCTCCAAGTACTAAACTGACTCTAGGTAGAGCTAGGGTAGAGATATTTTAAAAATTTGTAAAAATAGGATTGAAAATTAAACATCTGACAAAAAGAGGGACTGGGAGCCTGGTGCTACCCAAAATTATTGTAAAACAGACAAAATCTCTACAAGTAGAGTCATTAAAAATTGTAAAAATTAGTATAATATTTTATAGTTGTGCCCGACCGTAATTTTAGTTGTAAGGACACTTTAAATCATCTAGTCAATTTTAAAATTTTATTGCTTTTATTGTACTTTATTTTAAATCATTTTAACTCTATTTTATTTTATTTTTATTTTTATCTCATTTTACTTTAGTTTTAAGTACTAGTCATTAATTTTATTCTAGATTTCATTTAAAGTGTCCGACCTCATATTGACTGGGCTTATTGCCGGCAATATTAGTTTTAAGTCTTAGTATTAGTATTATTGACGTGGTTATTGCCCTAAGTAATTATTTTTAGTTATATTTACACTGAGCGGGTTATTGCCCCCAGTGCTAGGTTAAGTTTCAATTCGACGGGGTTTATTGACCCAGTAGGGACAGTTGGAGTCTCTTGACCCAAAACATAGATTTTAATATTTGATATTCTTATTTTATTTTATTTTATTTTTAAAAATTTTAAAATCTTTTAAATTTACAAATTGACACTCACCCCTGACAAAACTAAGATGTTCGGTTTTAGAACACCCGACAGGCGAACCGACCGCGCCGCAGCCCTCGACTCGGACCGGGCACTCTCGCCGAGGAGTGACCCGTCACCTAGAGAAACATTAAATGAAAGAAGGAGTATTGACAATAGTGAACCAGAAAGAGAGGAACCAAAGGAAAGAACAAAGGCACCAGTAAAAAGAATAATACTCACCAAAGATCCAAAGGCGGCGACTAGGAGAGTTTCTTTTGACTCGTCGAGCCCGCCGAAGTACGCCACGAAGCTGGCTGAGGCGAGGGCGTGCGTGACCAAGGCCAAAATTAACCTCGGCCTATCTAGGAACACGAAAACAGAAATTAAGGAGGCGGTCACGCAAGCGGTCGAAAGACTATACCAAATAGTTAAGGAATTGGAGAGTAAAGGGAAGAGGGAAACAGAGGAAAGGACGATTGACAGTATGGAAAAGAGTAAAGAACAAACCAGGGAGTGTGCAGGATTGGTGGACAGGATCGACGATCATGCAAAATTACTAAAGGAGAACAATCTAAAAATGGAAGAACTACAAACTACTTTGGAAAATTACCACAAAAAGCAGGAGCAACAGCAGCAGCAGCAATATACATATGCAAAAGCGTTAGCACAGGAAAAGAAGAAGAGTCAGACAGAGCAAAGATCACTGTCATCCGTAGTAATAACCTCAAAAAATGAGATGGAAACGGGAGAGGAGGTGTTAGAAAGAATACGAAAAGCGGTCAAGGCAAAAGAAGGAGGAGTAACTATAGAAAACATCAGGAAAGCAAAGGATAGGAAAATTATAATAGGATGTAGGACGGAGGAAGAAAGGAGTCAATTGAAAGAAAGATTGAAGAACGCAGAAAAACATCTCACTGTGCAGGATATAAAAAACAAAGATCCCTTGATAATACTATTAAACGTATTCAAATATAACACCGATCAGGACATTGTCGCTGCGCTGAAAAATCAGAACAGGGAAGTAGTAGGAGAAGGAAATGATAAAGAAAAATTAGAAATAGTATATAAGAAAAGAGCGAGAAATCCACTGACGCAGCACGTTGTAATAAGGGTGAACCCACAGATGTGGAGAAGGTTAACGGAAGCGGGCAAAGTACAAATTGATCTACAAAGGGTTAGAGTGGAGGACCAATCGCCCCTTGTACAATGCTCGCTCTGTTTAGGGTACGGACATCCGAAGCGCCTATGCATTGAAAAGGCAGAAAAGTGCAGCCACTGTGGGGGGCCTCACAAAAAGAATGAGTGCACCGACTGGCAAGCAGGACTCGAACCCTCATGCTGTAATTGCAAAGCGGCGAAACTGGATAGAGTCGACCATAACGCTTTCAGTCAGGAGTGCCCGGTGCGTGAAAGATGGGACGCAATAGCGAGATCGTCAATCGCTTATTGCTGAGGGCGCCCCGGGCACTCAGGGCTGGACGAAAGGCAGAGCCTATTGGCCTCGCACTCTCCAAGCCCACCCGAAGCTTAGGAACGAAACATTGAGGGCGGATGTAAGCACCCGGAACAACTGGTGGGGAGGTCGGAAAGCAAACGGGGACCACAAGGTAATCTCACAAAACATTAAAACTAAAAGGAACCAAGAAGAGGACATCCAACGCAACATCAGAATAGGGAATATAGAAAAAGTCAAAAGGGAAGAAATTCGGGAAAAGCTAATAAAAATTCGGAACAAAAATAAAATTAATATTAATAAAGTAAATGGAAATAAAAATATAAAAAACTTGGAAATAACAACTCAAAATTATATAAAAATCGCACATAAAAATTGGAACGAAAATTATAAAAGGGAATCTAAAAGTATAAATAAGGAAAACTTACCTTGTTGGCGCACCGAAGCCGATACTGCCAGGCGAAGCGAGGTCCCATACGCTGCGCCGGCCGGGGGAACACGGGTCGTCGTGCAGCACCTGCAAAGAAAAGAGCGACATAAAATAATCAGCTTTTTGAATCGACGAAACAGGGGGTTGATGGGGGACGCTTGGTGTCGAACGGCGAGTAGCACGAAGAGCGGATATGAGGTCCTTCACATCCTGAAGAATGGGGAGGCCTCAACTCATGGGAACACACACGCCGTAGACTCATCGCCGTTGGAGGGTGCTGCGGAACAGATAAAGATGGCATTAAAAACTTCGGAAACAAACAATGAAAGGCATGATGTATCATGCCCTAAACTGTTTATCAGAAGAAAACTTACGGGGCCCGCAGCACTCTCCAAATATAGAAAGATTCTTGCCACCGACGGCTTCTTCACCACATCCGACCCGAGGATACAGCCTGGCCCCAACAAAATGGACCCCCGAGACTGGCTTGCCTCTCCACTAGTTGAGGGACGAATGTGGCTACCTGGAAAAGAAAAAGGGGATTATGAAATCAAAAGTAAGGGGATAAAACTGAACATCTGTAGAAAAATTTTTAGGCCGTTTATTTTAAAAAAGCAAAATTAAAAGTAGAATCAATATAAGCACAAATTTGGAAAAAATGTCAAAATTAGTATTGTGGTGCTTCCTTGTGAGTATGCTTCCATACACAGAGAGAAGCACCACCACGCAGATTATATTGAGGACACTAAAAGTTTGTAAAAATAAAAACCTAGAGATAAAAACAAGGAAAATGTAAAAAGTCATATATATAAACATGTAAAAATTTAATCGTAAAACTAAACTGTAATATTAACTCAATGCAAAATTGTAAGTGTAATCTGAAAATTGTAAACTAAAACCAAAATTTTTAAAATGTAGCATAAAAACTTTAACAAGATGAAAAAGAACTCTGACCACCTATGTCAGGGGTGTAAGCGAGGACGGCACAAAGTCGTCCTCATTAAAAAAAAAAAAAAAAAAAAAAA